CCCCGGCCCGGCTCCACCCGCCGCCGCCCCGACTTCCCTCCGCCCGGCCGGAGCCCGCACTCCCGGGCCTCTCTCGCTTCCCCTCGTCCAGGGGCCGGGGGACTCGGCGGCCCCGGAGCCCAGCTGACCGCGCGGCCCGCTCACCGAGCTTCACGCAGCCACCAGGCACCGCCCCACCGCCGCCGCCAACCTCTCCCACCACAGCCCGGGTCCCACCCCTTCCCCCGCAGCCGGAAACCGGAAGCGCCTGCAAAGCCCCGCCCCGCCCCCAACTGTCGCGAGGCCCCAGCGGCTCCGCCCACGGCCGCTTTCCGCCCCGCCCCCGAGCCGAGGCTGCGACGCTCAGGACTAGGAAAGAAGCGACGCTTCGCAGCCGGGCGGCGGTGCCTCGTGCGCGCTGGGGGGCGGGGCGGGGCCTTGGCGAGAAGACGAAGGGCCGCTTCTCTAGCCCGCGCGGTCATCCACGTCTCTGTGGTCTGGGGAGCGGGCGGGGCCCAACTGGGGTGGAGCGCCCCACGCCCGGGCTCCTCCTCCCGTCCATCCTCCGCCTCCTCCCCTTCCCCGACTCGCCCCTGGGGAGGGGCGGGTGGCTGGGGATTCTGGGCGGGTGGTGGAGTCACTGTCGTTTCAGCCGGGCGGCGGAGCAGACCGACGCGCCTGGTGCCCCGGGGAGGGGCACCACCAGGGTAAGAGGAGGAGGAGGAGGTGGAGAGGAAGAGACGCCCTCCCTGCCCGAGACCTCTCGAGACTCTGACTCCAGAGGCTAGGGGACTGACAGTTCCTTTACCTGGGCTGCCTGAAGAGCCCACGACCCTGGAGGGCCCTGAGCCCACGGCACCAGGGGCCCCAGCACCACCCCAGTGGCCTAAAGCGACAGTCTCAGGGACCACTGCAAGGTTTCCAGTTGCCTAGACAACGAACCCAGGGTCAGAGCAACAACCCTTCCAGCCACCTGTCTGAACTGCTGCCTCAGGCACCAGTCCCAGCCCCGTGCATCCAGCCCAGGTGACATGCCGGTGCTCTCCATCCCCCGGCCCTCGAGGGTGACCACGCTGAAGCGCACAGCTGTGCTACTGGCCCTCACGGCCTATGGAGCCCACAAAATCTACCCCCTGGTGCGGCAGTGCCTGGTTCCGGCCAGGGGCCCTCAGGTGCCAGCAGGGGAGTCCACACAAGAGACCTCCGGGGCCACAACAGCCGCAGCAGCCAAGGCCGGCGTGAACCGGGTGTTCTTGCAGCGACTCTTGTGGCTCCTGCGGCTACTCTTCCCCAGGATCCTGTGCCGTGAGACGGGGCTGCTGGCACTGCACTCAGCCACCCTGGTGAGCCGGACTTTCCTGTCAGTATATGTGGCCCGCCTGGATGGACGGCTGGCCCGCTGTATCGTGCGCAAGGACCCGCGGGCCTTTGGCTGGCAGCTCTTACAGTGGCTTCTCATCGCCCTCCCTGCCACCTTCATCAACAGTGCCATCCGCTACCTGGAGGGCCAGCTGGCCCTGTCTTTTCGCAGCCGTCTAGTGGCCCACGCCTACAGCCTCTACTTCTCCCAGCAGACTTACTACCGAGTCAGCAACATGGACGGGCGGCTTCGCAACCCTGACCAGTCCCTGACGGAGGATGTGGTGGCCTTTGCTGCCTCTGTGGCCCACCTCTACTCCAACCTGACCAAGCCGCTCCTGGATGTGGCTGTGACCGCCTACACCCTGCTTCGAGCAGCCCGCTCCCGCGGGGCCGGCACAGCCTGGCCCTCGGCCATTGCTGGTCTTGTGGTGTTCCTCACAGCCAACGTGCTGCGAGCCTTCTCACCCAAATTTGGGGAGCTGGTGGCAGAGGAGGCACGGCGGAAAGGGGAGCTGCGCTACATGCACTCTCGCGTGGTGGCCAACTCAGAGGAGATAGCCTTCTATGGGGGCCACGAGGTGGGGCAGATTGAGTCCCTGGGCACAAAGGAAAGCGTGTGGCTGGGAGGCTCGGGGACAGGCAGCCATGAATGGTGGGGGCAGCCCAGAGCTGGCTAAGGCTGATGCCAGAGGTGTGGGCAGGCCACGAGAAAGGGAGGCTAGGGACAGCCAGGGCCTTGGGCAGCCCAGACTTAGGCAGATAAATGGAGAAGCAGGAAGGCTGGGTGGGGACTGCTGTGGGCCAGCTGCCTGCATGCTCCAGGCCACTTCTGCTTCCTCTCCTCCTCGATGAGGTTGTCCTGGCCTTGGAGCTGCAGATCCTAGTCGTTTGAGATGCTAGAGCTCCTGGCTCACCCCACTCTTGCAGCCAGCCCAGAGGAGGCTCCTGCCATCAGGGAGCATGGATGGTGGGATGCGGCCGGCTGCCTGGCATCTCCCAGGCCCCTGGGCCCTTTCCTTTGAAGGCCAGCGTCCGGCTGAGTTGGCCGGCCGGGCAGGCGGGTATTATGGGCATGACTCAGCCCAATCGGGGGTTAATGAGCAGTGCCCAGCGCCGCAGCTGCAGGGGTGGCGGCGCTCAACGCTCCAGGTCAAGGCCTCCCCCACCTGAGCCCCCGGGCTGGCCTGGCTGCTGGCTTGACCGCCTCCCAGAGGACCCAGGCTAGGGATGCCGGGCCCAGGCTGGCACCGCATCGGGATGCGCTTCCTGCCCGCCCGGCATGGCCGCCCTTCCACCCAGGTCCCAGGCATACAGCTCCCCGGCAGGCTGGGGCCGGGGCCGGGGCTCATGGCTGGCCGGGAGCCCGGTGCTGGGAAAGGTTACTCCAGGCCAATGCTCTCTTTATCTTGCCTGGGCCCCTCCCCTTCCTCGTGCCTGGGGTTGCAGCTGCCTCCAGCCCTGCTGTCTGAGACTCTGGTTTCGGTTCCCGACTGCTTCTCGGGGGAGGGGTGCAATGGCATCCATCTCCTGAAGGCCTATGTGTCCTCCCTGGGTCAGGTGGCCTCTTGTACCCAGAACTTGTCTCATTGACTTCGCATCTGGTGGAGAGGCAGGCTTGTCCCTGAACTCCGCAGAGAGGGGGCATCTGGGGTGGGCGTGGGCCGGGCTCCAGATTAGGAGAAATGTAGCTGCAACCCCCTCTCCTCCTCTCCTTCTCTCCTCCTCTCCCACACGCCAGGCCACAGGGCCTTGGCAGGCAGCCGTGGCCTTGGGTGAGGCACTTGGCACATGACCCGCAGCTACATTGTCAGCCCTGGCTGGCGCTCCTGCCAGCTCCCAGCACGAGCCTGGACTGCGAGGGTGCTTGGAAGGAGGCGTGCTCATCTCCAGAATGGGAGACGGCTTGAGGCAAAGCCGAGCTCTGCAGCGGCCCTGGATGGGGGTGGGGGGCAGAAGAGAGCTCACTGGTTCTTTGAAGGACTTCCTCCAGTCTAGCTTCAGGAAATAGCACGTTCGCCAGTAGGATTCGCTGGCTGGCCGGGGAGGGAGGGCCCGGATGTGCGTCCACAGCCTGTCAGTTTAGGCCTTGGCCAGAGGGCTGGAAAGCAGTGTGGAGTGACAGGCCCCCATGGGTGGGTTGATTGCTCTTACTGTGCAGACAGGTGGCTCACCCTAGTCCCACTAGCTAATGTCCCCATGGACACTGGCCCAGGCTCAGATGAACAGGTTAGAGCAGAGGTGGCTGGCTGGTTGGAGGGTAGACTGCAGGGTGTTCTGTTAGTACTGGGATTTCTACGAGGAGGCTTAGCTAGACTCACACAAGCACACACACAACCTCTTGTCGGCTTGAGAACAAGGTAAACCTTTCTTAGTAAGTCAAAGCATCATTTACAAGAATCTTATTCTCCTAATAGCTCTGCCTGTATGGTCCAAATTCCAAACCTCTTGCTACCTCTAGGCTGTGTGAGCTTGGACAGGTCACAGCCTCTCTAGGCTTCAGAGTCCTACTGTACAACAGACATGAAAGTACACATGCGATGGGATGTGGTGAGGATCAAATGGAGAGTCAGGTGTGGAAGCACTTGGCAAAGGAAACGGGGCCAGGCTGGGCAGCTGTTGTCAGCTGGGGGTGGGAAGGCAGGGCTGGGGCATGCGCCCCTGCACTGAGCCAAGAAACCCACGACCCAATGGCCACCCTGCTGTGACCACTTCCTGAAACCTCCAGCCCCGCTGCTGCCACAGGGAGCCTCTTTCTCTCCCACTCCCTTTCCTGCTCTCTCTTCTCCAGGCCCTGCACAGGCCCCTTTCCACACCTGTCCCCATCCTGAGATGGCAGGTGGTTGCCCGTGCAGGAAGGGGGAGGGGAGGGCAGGGGAGGCCCACCCCACTGCTGAGCCAGTGGGCTGGAGACATCAGCTGGCCAGCCTCGGTGCGGGGCTGCCTCTTAGGGGGCGAGGCCTGCAGGGACTGGCTCAGAGCTGCCTTCCAGGTTCCGGTGGGAGAATGCAGTGCAAGTTTCTCATCCGGAAGAACAGTGGGAAGGTAGGGAGAGGTGGGGCCTCAGTAGGTGGAGACTGGTGAATGACATTCTTCCAAACCAGTTCTGCCTTTGCTTTCCTGTGCTGCCCTTTGCTCAGTTCAGGGAGCCCCCCAGCAGTTGCCCAAAGAAATGGGCAAGGTGGCTTTCCTTGGCCCGTGTGCAGAAGCTGTCCACGACAAAGAGGGGCATGAGGAGCGTCCCAAGGAGAGAGAGAGTGTAAACTGGGGACAGAGTGGGCCTCGGGAGTGGGGGTTGAGTCCCTTCCTCACCGCCATTGTACCCCAGTGCTATGATGTCAGGCAATTCCATACCACCCCCCCTGAGTTTGAGACCTGTCCCCTGTAAACGTGGCCCAGTCAGGACTCCCAGCTCTCAGCCTTGTTGTGGCCATCAAACGGCATAGAGTGTCTGAGCGGCGCTTGGGGCCTCTCCATCTCTCTGTCTGCCTCTCCCCTGCAGGTGGAGCTGGCCCTGCTGCAGCACTCCTACCAGGACCTGGCTTCGCAGATCAACCTCATCCTTCTGGAACGCCTGTGGTACGTCATGCTGGAGCAGTTCCTTATGAAGTATGTGTGGAGCGCCTCAGGCCTGCTCATGGTGGCCGTCCCCATAATCACCGCCACCGGCTACTCAGAGTCAGGTGAGAGCCAGGGCTCCCAGGGTGGCGAGGGCAGGGGCCCTGTGCTCCTGGACCACTGGGTGCTAGGCTTGGGAGGGCCCAGCGCTCAGCCTGCCCACCTGCCCCTTCTGTTGAGGCCAGGAATCCCAGCTGGTGTCCTTGAGATCACCAGAGGTCACACTCTCCATAGCTCCTTGTTGCCTTCCATGCTGCGTGTGTCTCCCCTTACAGCATCTCATGCTCCTTGGTACCACTCAGCTGAGCCCGGGGACTGCAACTCAGGAACACTCCATGTCCCTTCACCACGCACGTGCACCATTGCCCACTGTCCTTATCCTTAGCCCAACTGCAACTTGGAGGTGGAAGGATGGGAAAGTACCTTGAGTGAGCCCCTTCATTGCTCGGGCCTTGGCTTTCCCATGCCTGAACAGCTCTGGCAGGTTGCAGAGGGTACAGACCCCCCTCGGGGGGCGGGGCGGGGGGTGATGACACGGAGACTGGAAAGCCTGTTCTGCCTGTGACTTTAGCAATTGGGTCGTCAGGATTCCCATTTTATTCATCTGCTGGTTTGCAACGTATTCATTCATATTTATTCTATTCGTAGTCTTTTCGCAGCTGCCCTTTGAAAGGTTGACGTGCAGACTTGGGAAGAGTCTGGCTTGGTCAATAGCTCCTCCTCCTCCTCCTCCTCCTCCTCCTCCTCCTCCTCCTCCTGGCCCTTAGAACACTTTGACTCAGGGCCAGCCTGGCTGCTGCAACGATTGTAGCCCAGTGTCCGGTTGGCTTTCCTGTTGTTTGATACATGGTTATGGCTTTATCGGGTCGACACATGTCTCCATTCACGCCTGTGTTTACTGATTTCTTTGCTCACCAGTCCTTTCCCGAAGCCCAGGTACCTTCTTCCCAGTAGATATCTTTTAGAAGTTCTTTCTGCAAGAGAATGGGAACTTTGCGATTCTTTTGTTGTCTGAAAATGTCTTTATTTTACCCTTTTTCCCAAACTAAAGTTTAGTTGGGTGTGGGAGTTGAGGCAGATAGTTATTTTCTTTCACCCGTTGACAATATTCCATTGTCTCTGTTGGAAAGTCTGTTATCAGCTTGACTGCCTTGGGCAGCCTATATTGTCTGTCTCATTACTTTTAGACTTTTCTCTCTGGCATTCTGCAGTTTCCCTACGAAGTGTTTACCTGTGGGTTTCTGTTTATCCTGCTTCAGACTTCTTGTATATCCTTTGAATATTCATATTTTTCAATCCTTCTGGAAAATTCTCAGCGGTTATCTTTTCAAATATCGCCTCACTTTCACTCTTTCCTTCCGGAACTCCTGCTATACACACTCTGGACTTCTCACTCTCTCCTTTGCAGCTCTTCATCTCTCTTCACTGCTGAATTCTGGGAGGTTTCCTGAGATCGTCTTGCTCACTCATTTGCCAGTTTTCTCTTTGGCTATATCTAATTTGATTTTTTTTTAAATTTCAGTAACTATTTCTATAAAGTTCTTTATTTATTTATTTTTTCCCCAAAGCCCCAGTAGATAGTTGTATGTCATAGCTGCACATCCTTCTAGTTGCTGTATGTGGGACGCGGCCTCAGCATGGCCGGAGAAGCGGTGTGTGGGTGCGCACCCGGGATCCGCACCCGGGATCCAAACCCGGACCGCCAGCAGCAGAGCGTGCACACTTAACCGCTAAGTCACAGGGCCGACCCTCTATAAAGTTCTATTTGATTCTCTTTTAAATAGAAATTTGAAAATAGAAATTTTCTTTTTCAAATAGAAATTTCAAACTGTTTTTGTGTGTCTGATTTTCTCCTCTTTTTGACTGCTCCTTTTATGCTGTGTATCATATTAATCATACTTCTTCCATGCTTTCATTTTGTGTATGTGTGAGGAAGATCAGCCCTGTGCTAACATCTGCCAATCCTCCTCTTTTTGCTGAGGAAGATTGGCCCTGGGCTAACGTCTGTGCCCATCTTTCTCCACTTTGTATGGGACGCTGCCACAGCATGGCTTGACAGGCAGTGCGTCAGTGCACACCTGGGATCCGAACCTGCGAACCCCGGGCCACAGAAGCAGAGCGCACGCACTTAACTGCTGCGCCACCGGGCCAGTCCCTCTTCCGTGATTTCTATTCAACTATTCGGTTATTTGAATCCTCGGGAGCCAGCTTTATCTTCTCTCTGCTGGTCTGCACTCAGGGTCCTTGTGGGGTTTGCAAGCAGACTTCCCCAGGAGCCCCAGGGCCTGACTGGAGGCTGCCCCCCCCCATGCCTCTTGGCTTCTGTTTTGGTCAAGCATTCCCGGGTAATTAACCACTTGGAGGCCAGTTTCATGTTAACTTCTCAGCTTGGCGAAGAGGGGTTCCTGAACTTGAAGGTAGTATTAATTTGAACCCCAGACACATAATTACAAATTCTTAGAGGAGCCCTTTGGTTCCCTGCACCTAGGGCCCCAGCTACATGAAAGAAGCTGCCCTGTCTCCTCCGTCTCTGGGGATTTCACAGGAGCCCCTGGCTGCTGGCTGCTGTTTTTGCTCCTGGGAATTTCCCTTGCTTTCCTTGGAGCACAGTTCTGCTTTCAAAGGTGTTATATTTTATGCAGCTTGGTAGTAAGAGGGTTTTCAGTTATATCTAAAGAAAGAGAACCTGACTTCAGAACCAGAAATCTCTCAGATTCTCTCCCTCTTGGCATCTCTACCTTGGGGCTTCCATACCCTCAGCTGTCTGTCCCTCTCTGGAAGACCCCCAAGACGAAGGATCTCATTGGAGGGGGGTGGTTACTTTCCACCGATGGGCCAACATAAAGAGTGGCCTTGGTTTGATTTAGGACCCAGTCAGCACACCTGGCCCAGAGCCTGAAGATGGACCCAGGAGGAGATTGACCTGTGGTTTTGGTGAGGAATCACCTGCAGCCACTTCCCTCTTTGGCTAGCACTGGGCGCTGCCAACCTGTCTAGTCCCTGAGGCCTCTCCCTCCTCTGAAGGCCTAGGATTTTTTGGGGCCTCTGCTGTGCCAGGCTTTGTGGGCGATTAAAACAAGCAACAGTTCCTGTCCCTGGCTCATGGCCCTTAGAGTCAGTTACCTGTGAAAATGTGAAACATTTTCATCTTGGCCCCCTTGCTCACTCCACTTGTGTCATACTGGCCTCCTTGTTATTCCCCTAAAACACCAGGCATGCTTCTGCCTCAGGGCCTTTGCACATGCTGCTGGCTCTGCCAGGAATGCTCTTTCCTCACACGTCCAGCGGCCCCCTCCCTTCCTCTATCAGAGCTTGGCTCCCAGGCCCCCTATAGGTGAGGCCTGCCCTGATCACACCCCGCTTTTCTCTTCCCATCCCCCGCCTCTCTGCACTCCCAAACACTGAACACCCTATCTTTTCCACATATATATCTGGTTTATCATCTCCATGCCACTTCAGACTGTGAGCTCAGTGATGACAGGGACTTTTGTCCGTTTTGTCCCTGCTGTGTCCCCAGTCTCTGGCAGCTAGTGAGGGCTTCAGGTTCTTCAAGGAGGCTGAGAGCACTGGGGACCGGTGGGAGGAGGCAGACACTTATCCACTGGGGAAGATGTAGCTACCTTTGCCCTGCTGGCCTGCTGGCACTGCAAAGCAGGAGGGCCCAGGGGAGGGGCGGCCTGGCCGGGAACAGCTGCCAGGGGCCCTGGTCTTAGCCACCCGAGGATCCAAGGGAAGCTGCAGAGGGCAGTTACTTCTGTCCCCGGGGAGGTGCCAGCTGTTGCCAGGATGCCCTGGGCACCTACAGACTCTTTCCCTTTGTGTGCAGTCACTGTACAGCTCTCAGGACATCCAAGGAGGAAGGCTTGTGTCCCCCCTGCCTGTTGGGGGGCTGTGTCCCTAAGGGCACGGTGAGAAGGAAGGCCCCATTCCCTTTCTACCCCGCACGGCACCCACGCTGCTCTGGAGGCCATCTGCCCTGAGCCAACTTCCTGCCCCCTCCCACCCCACCCCCGCCATCATGTCCCTGGAGCTCCCACCTCAGATCGACATATACCCCTGGGTAGAGTCCTTGGGCTCTTCACAGAACCTTCCTTCCCACCACTTCAGTCACAGGAGCTCCAGCTTCCCCTGGATACCCCCAATGGCCGCTGCTCATTCACCCACACCCCAGGACCCTCAGAGTTGGCCTCCCCCTTGCTCCCCATCGCCATTTCCAGAACATTCCTTGTTTAAAAGCCCTGCCCCTTTGGGGAATCCAAAGGTCAAGGGAGTCGAGGCCATTGACTCCCAGTCAACCCACAAGAGAGGGTTGAAGTGAGTGACCTTGAGGCCTAGACTAAGACAGAAAAGCAAATCAAGACAGGAGCAGGCTACCAGGGAGAAGTAGGGGCGTCGAGGATGGCCACTCTCTTAGAGGCCACAGAATACGGCGCTGAGGGGAGAGATGAGGGAGAGATGGGGGTAGCAGTGGAGGTCCAGAAGGGGATATATATGTGTGAGAGGCTCCGGTGGTTGGATGCCAGTGCCGGTGTGGCCCTGGGAGAGGCTGCCATCAATAGCGCAGGCAGGGGGCAGTCTCGGGGAATGGCTGGTTGTGCCATGACAGAAAGCCAAATGCCTGGGGGCTCGTTGTTTTCTCCGTGGTATTGAGATGTAATTAACATACTGGTACAATTCAGCCTTTTAAAGTGTACAATTCAGTGGTTTTTAAGGTAGTCACAGAATTGTGCAACCATCACGTCTATCTAAGTCTCTATCTAAACATTGTCATCACCCCAAAAACAAACCCTCAACCCATTAGCAGTCACTCCCCACCCCACCCCCTACCCCCTGGCACCCACTCATCTCCTTTCTGTCTCTATGGATTTGCCTCTTCTGGCCTTTCACAGAAATGGAATCCTGCAATCTATGGCCCTTTTTTGTCGGGCTCCTTTCTCTCAGCATGATGTTTTCAAGGTCCATCCACGTTGTAGCATGTGTCAGAACATCATCCCTTTTGATGGCTGAATAACGTTCCATTGGATGGACACACCACACTTCGTTTATCCGGTCTCCTGTGGATGGACACTTGGGTGGTTTCCACCTTTGGGCTATTGTGAATAATGCTGCAGTGAGCATTTTGTTTAGGTTTTTGCCTGGAGATATATTTTTGTTTCTTCTGGATATCTACCTGAGAGTATATATGATAGAAGTGTCTCTTCAGATCCTCTGCCCGTTGTTTAATTGGGTTGTTTGTCTCTTTGTTGTTGAATTGAAAACGTTCCTTCTTTTTTTTTTGTTTGTGAGAAAGATCAGCCCTGAGCTAACATCCATTTCCACTCCTCTTTTTTTGCTGAGGAAGAGTGGGCCTGAGCTACCATCCGTGCCCATCTTCCTCTACTTTATATGGGATGCCGCCACAGCATGGCTTGACAAGTGGTGCGTTGGTGCACACCCGGGATCTGAACCTGTGAATCCCGGGCCACCGAAGTGGAGTGTGCGCACTTAACCACTTGCGCCACCGGGCCGGCCCCGGAAAAACGTTCTTTCTGTATTCTGGATACTAGACCCTTCTCAGATCTGTGATTTACAGATATTTTCTCCCAGCCATAGATGGTTTTTTCACTTTCTTGATGATTTTTTTTTAAATTTTATTGTGAAATTTTTGTTGTACATTATTGTTTATCAGTCACCATATAAGTGCAGCCCTCCACCCCTTGTGCCCACACCCCACAGATAGAAATGTTTGGTGATTACCTCGCCCCTGGTAATCACCAAACAGTTCTATCTGTCCGTGTGTTGGTTTATCTGCCACATATGAGTGAAATCATGCATTGATGGTTTTTTTGTGTATGAGAGGAAGATCAGCCCTGAGCTAACTTCCGATGCCCATCCTCCTCTTTTTGCCGAGGAAGATTGGCCCTGAGCTAACATCCGTGCCCATCTTCCTCTACTTTATATGGGACGCCGCCAGAGCATGGCTTAACAAGCAGTGCGTCGGTGCGCACCCAGGATCCGGGCCTGCGAACCCTGGGCCACCACAGCGGAACACGCGCACTTAACCGCTGTGCCACCGGGCCGGCCCCTTCTTGATGGTTTTTTTTGGTGCTCAAAAGTTTTAAATTTTGATGATGCTCATTTACCTGTTTTTGTTGTTGTTGCTTGTGCTTTTGGTGTCACATTTGAGGAGCCATACCTAATACCGGATCACACAGATTTACCCTGGCTTTCTTCTAGGAGTTTTACAATCTCAGCTCTGAGCTGCAGGCCAGTGCTCCACTTGGAGTAGTCTTTTTGTGTGGGGTGAGGTAGGGGCCATTCTTTGGTGTGTGGATACCTATTGTCCTAGTACTGTTTGCTGGAGAGACTGGTCTTTGCCCCAGTGGGTCAGCTTTGATTTTCCCTTGTCCCTGCCCCTCCCCTCCACTGTGCTCCACAGCCTCAGAGGCCATGAAGAAGGCAGCCTCAGAGCTGAGGGAGGAGGAACTGGTGAGCGAGCGCACAGAAGCCTTCACCATTGCCCGCAACCTCCTCACAGCTGCTGCTGATGCCATTGAGCGGATCATGTCGTCCTACAAGGAGGTAACCCCCTCTCCCCTGCCAAGCCCCCGCCGCATCCTCGGCTGGCAGGGCTGAGGCAGGGTCACCCTCCCCGCAGGTGACAGAGCTAGCTGGCTACACGGCCCGGGTACATGAGATGTTTCAGGTATTCGATGACGTCCAGCACTGCCGTTTCAAGAGGCCCGGGGAGCCCGAGGACACTCAGGTGGGGGCCGGGGCCGTGGTGAAGCCTGGTGTCCGTGTGGAGGGGCCCCTGCAGATCCGAGGTAAGAGGCCCTGCTGGACCCTGCCCTCCCACCCCAGGCAGCTCCTAGTGCCATCAGAGGGCAGGGGCTTTGAGTTGTGCCCCGGGGGTGGGGCTTTCTGGGTGAATTGTGGCTCCCACAGCCTCCCTTCCTACAGCAGTCACTGCTGGCCAGCCCGCTCACTCACCCAGTTCCTTCCAGGTGCGCTGGCTGGGATTTCTTTTTGCAAAAGAGTGGTCATGGTCTCTGAGTGGAAGAGATCACTCGCCCAAGCTACAGCAGGGCCCGGGGTGCTGTGGAAGTGGGGCCCGCGCATCAGAGCTGCTGTTAAGATGGTGCCAGGAGCGAAGGGCTGCAGAGCAGGAGTGGACCCCATGCCTTGGGTTCCAGAGGCCAGAGAAATGGCTTTGCTACTCCCCCGCCCACAGTACAGCACCAGACACTGGGGGGACCCTGGACCACACACTGGCATGCTCTTGGGTGTGAGGGGGCACATGGAACCTACCAGAAAGCAGAGGGAGGGCTGTTGCTCCCTCTCTTCCTTCCTTGTGTTCTCTCTCCAGGCCAAGTGGTGGATGTGGAGCAGGGAATTATTTGTGAGAACATCCCCATCATCACGCCCACAGGAGAGGTGGTGGTGGCCAGCCTCAACATCAGGGTAGGTCGCGTCGGGGAGAGGAGCACCCAACCCAGAAGTGCAGGCTGATCTGGGCTGTGCTAGGCTGAGCCATGGGGCCCGGGCCTGGCCTTCTGCATCTGCAAGCCCCAGCCCTTGGCATCTGGCCTGGCTGGCCTGCCTCTGTTGTCAGTACCCATTGTCCCTAGATCTACGTGGCAGGCGGACTAAGGTTGAAGTGAAAGACCAATGTGTCTCTGACTGTTGGTTCCAGGGCAGTGGAGTCAGAGCTGATAAAACAGACTAGTGATTACAGGATTGGCCAAGGGTCACTCAAGGGTTCCTGGCCCTATCGTTGCCAGTCCCCCCAGCCCACCACGTCCCAGAGAAGCCCAGGACTTGGGGACTCTGGTTCACCTCCAACTGTAGTAGAAGAGGGAGCCTTCCACTGGCCTGGGCTTGCCTCCCACCCATCTGCTTCGAGAAGCCCCCAGTGCAGGTGTCTGTGCTGGGTGCAGCCTAGCCCAATGGGAGGGCTCTCAGCCACTACACAGGCTGTCTGTGGAGAGGAAGCCCTGGTGGTGGACGTCCACCAGTCACCTGTGCCCCCAGCTAGGGATTTGGACAGAGTCAGGGAGTGATAGAATGAAGGGGAGACCTGGTGGGGGCAAGAGAAGAAGAGAGAGTCATTCATTCATTCATTCACTTATTCATTCATTCAATCAATATTCCCTGAGCTCCGGGGTGGACACTGAAAACCAGAGGTCCATCAGGGGCCGCTACCCTCTGGGAAGCCCCACCCTGGGGGGTCCTAAGTGTTACAAAGGTCCCCAGTTAGCTGCCCAGGAGCCAGCAGGGGCCACAGGAGGGTGGTCACCATCCCTGGGGGGAGCGAAAGTCACATGCAGCATCACCTAGGAGCCTCCAGGCAGGTGGGTAAAGAAGTCCTTTCACAGAGGGCAGGTCGAAAAAGGGCAATGGAGCGGCAGAAGCGTGGAGCCGAGGGCCTTCGGGGCTAGATCCTGCAGGGACCATGTGCACCTGGCTGAGGAGCTGGGTCAGTAGGAGCCACAGCCAGACAGGGCGTTAGCAGGAAGAGGCGAGTGGAGGGGCAGTGCCTGCTGAGAGGGCCAGCACAGGACGGCACTGGTGACTCTTGGGCTATGTGGGGAACCGCCGATGGCCAAGAGGAATGGTCTCTAGGCAGGCCCACTAGAAGCCCAAGTAGGCAAAGCCCGGAGGCCCCGGTGAGCAGGGGCACAGCTGACAAGGAAGCAAGGTGAGCGAGGACGGGGAGACTCTGGCCTGGCGGAGCTGGTGGTAGAGCTGGCCTCCGGGGCTGCAAGATGTTGAGGACGGGATACAGTTCCCAGCTACAGCCAGCCTCCATCTTCACATGGCCTTCTCCCTGTGTGCAGGTCTCTGTGTCCAAATGTCCCATTTTTATCAGGACACCAGTCGCGTTGGATTAGAGGCCTACCCTACTCCAGGATGACCTCATCTCAATTTAACTAATTACATTTGCAAAGACTCTATTTCCAAATAAGGTCACATTTTGAGATCTTGGGGGTTAGGACTCCAACATGAACTTGAGGGGACACAGTTCAGCCCTTAACACTGACTGAGGTCAGCCAGAGATAGGTGTTTGCATGGGCCATGATCTCCAGTCTTCCAAGGATTGCACAGGCCAGTAGGCCCTTAGTGTTGATGTTATGTCACACTGGGGGGGGACACTTAACACAGCGGGGGGTGGGGTGGAAGCTGTGCATGAAGTGCCCTGAGTCCATGCCCCATGCTCTCCCCCGCCCCCTAAGGATGGCGGTCTCCCTGCCCTCTAACCCCCTCCTTCCTGCACACTGCCCCCGCCAGCTCAGGCCAGCCTTTTTCTAACAGCAGGCGTTTTCAGAAGACCAGTGGGCATCATGTAATCGGCTAATTGGGGAGCCTCTGGCCCTTGACACTGAGCCCAGGGGCCATGGTGGCATCTCCATGGCCCCCTAGCACCCGCGGGGCAGTGAGAGGGCCATGGTGGGGCAGATGGAGTGCGGGGTTCGTACTGTCCACCTCAAACTCTAAGGAAAGTGCCTCTCCTGGAGCAGTTCCTAAAGGGAAAGCAACTCTGCCAGGGAGGCTGAGAGGCTAGGATCCCAGAGAAGTGGGATCACATGGGATGGAGTGTGACATTGACTTTCTGGGGCAGAATAGGCCCTCCTTGTGGTGGCCCCATGCTCTCTGGTGTATGTTGGGGCCTTAGGGGACAGGCCAGGGCCCAAAACAGGCATTTGCTTAGGGCTCTGGAAGCTGGACCTCATGCCCTAGGCCCTGCCATCCCTTATCAAGAGATCAAGAATGGCCTACATGCCAGCCTCAGCGTGTACCTGGGTGGAGGGAGCTCTCCGAGGCTGTCCAGAAGCTGCAGGTGAGTGGAGAGAGGCCCACACCCGCCTGGGTACCATAGCTGCTGCCTCCGCAGGTAGAAGAGGGCATGCACTTGCTCATCACGGGGCCCAACGGCTGCGGCAAGAGTTCTCTGTTCCGGATCCTTGGCGGGCTCTGGCCCACGTACGGTGGTGTACTCTACAAGCCCCTGCCACAGCGCATGTTCTACATTCCTCAGAGGTGAGTGCTGGGGCCACGGGCTGGGGGGAGCCTGTCTAGCTGGCAGGAAGGGAGAGGGAGGGAGCCAGGCCCCCCAGCTCTGTCCCCGCCCTGTGGAACCTGACACCCTGGAGATGGCAGAGCTTGGGGCCTTGGGAGAGGACAGCAAGATGCTGCCCCCAGAGTTGGAGGGGCCATGGCACCTCCACCTGCCACCCCACGCCACCCGCTCACCTGGCGACTTCACAACTGTGTGGTGTGCGTGCATGAGGGGTATGTGCACATGGGGGGTAGTGTATCTGTGTGCATGTGGTATGTGAACACGTGTGAGTTTATGCGTATGTGAGCATGTTCATGAGTGTACTGTGATGTATGTGTGCGTGCCTGGGTGTGCAGGGTGAGTGTGTGTGCGCACAAGTATGGTATGCATGAGTGTGCGCATGTGTGTGGATGTGGTGTGCAAGTGCACATGTTGGGGGGCGAGCACTGCCTGGAACACTTTGTTGCGAGGGTCTGTGGGTCTGGCAGCCAGGGCCCACGCGGAGCCCACTGGGGCACAGGGCATCGGCAGGGAAGCAGAGCCAGCCCCTCCCTCAGTGGACACGCAGCTTTCCCACAGGCCCTACATGTCCGTGGGCTCCTTGCGCGACCAGGTGATCTACCCAGACTCGGTGGAGGACATGCAAAGGAAGGGCTATTCAGAGCAGCACCTGGAAGCCATTCTGGACATCGTGCACCTGAACCACATCCTGCAGCGGGAAGGAGGTAGGGGCATCTCGCCTCTCAGCACCAGGGAGCAAGCCATTGATCGATGCTGCCACCCCTGCCCTGCCTCCCTCTTGGCCCCCGAGGGATGAAGATTACCCTACTGTCCAGGAGTCCAAAGAGCCAGGTGCCCTGGAGAGCCCCACCGACCAGGGGGAACTAACTGACAGTAAGCACGTGGCCCCAGCTGGCCTAAGTGCGCTAGGAAAGGGAGGCCAGGTGCAGCAGGGGGCGTCCAGCAGGGGCCTGCGACACCCTTTCCAGGCTCTGAGAGCTGAGGCTTCCCTTGACGAGGCAGGGAGCCGTTGGAAGGCTTGAGGCTGGGAAGTGACAGGTCAGTTTCATGTTTCAGCAAGAGGATAGACTTCGGACATGGGGAGGGCACCCAGGGAGGAGGTGAGTGCAGGGTGTCTGTGCAGAGGGCCTGGAGTGTGGACGGCAGGAGCAGAGGCTTATCAAGTTTGTCTGCAAATGCCCACTGTGCCCAGAGGGAGGAAAAGGAGAGGGTGCCCAGCTGCCTGGAGGAACGTGGGGCAGGGCTGGGCTCCATTTCCTTAGTGAAATTGGAGCAACAGAGTTCAGCCTCCTGCCCCCACACCTTAGGGGCAGCTCGACCTTGAGTAAAGACCTCACCTCCGGAGACTCTCTTCACCTGTAGAAGAGGACGCATACCAGTCCCTCCCTCCACACCAGCATTAAGCGAAATAACTCCTGTGAGGACCCATAGAGAGTTTTCAGGAAACGGCAGACAGTTTATGAGGATTCTCCCCAGGCGTTGTCACCTGTGTCAGAAAGGGGGCTGGAGGTGGTGGATTCAGGCCTGCCCTGATTGCCATGGTCACTCCGAAGCTTCATGTTCAGCTTCCCCTGGCCTGGCTGGACCTCTTTTACTCCAGCTGCCCTCCGCCTGGCAGTGTGCCCTCCTCCTGTCCTCCATGGCACCCCTGAGCACCAGGGCCCTTGAGGCTGACCATCATCACAACCTATTAGCATTGAGTTCAGCTGTGAATAACAGAACCCCCCAACAGTGGCTCAAATCATTCACAAGTTTATCTTACTGTGACATAAAAGTCCCAAGGAAGGCAGGCCACAGTTGTTGGGGGTGGCCTTGCTCTGTGAAGGCCCCTGAGTGGCTCTGCTATGTGTGGCCTCTGTTCACAAAGTCACCTCATGGTCCAAGATGGCTGCTCTGGCCATCACATCACATAGGATGGAGGAAGTGGGGGGAAGAGGCAAATGGTGCATGCCATCTATTTTTTTGTGTGTGTGAGGAGGACCAGCCCTGAGGTAATATCTAATGCCAATCCTCCCCTGGGCCAACATCCGTGCCCATCCTCCTCCACCTTATATGGGACGCCGCCACAACATGGCTTAACAAGCGGTGCATCGGTGCCTGCCCGGGATCCGAACCGGCGAACCCCGGGCCGCTGCAGCAGAGCGCGCGCACTTAACCGCTTGCGCCACCGGGCCAGCCCCGCCATCTATCTTTTAAAAGAAAGTTCCAGAAGCTGCCATGTGTGTAACACTTACACTTCTACCCCATTGGCCAGAATTAAGTCACATGGTCACACCTCACCTCAAGGCAAGCTAGGGAGTGTAGTCTTTTTTCTGGGTGGCCATGTGCCCTGCAAAAACTTCTAGTCCTGTGGGAAGGCAGAGTGGAGGGAGGAGGTGAGGAGCCTTTCTGATGAATCACCTGTTCATTCAAGTAGCCCACCTGAGCCTTGCTGAGACGCTGGCAACAGGCACTGACACAAAGGCCTGGCCCCTATAGGTGAGAAGCCTTCTGGAGAGATCACTCCAGTCATGCCTGGGGCTCTGCAGTGACCAGCTGCTGCCCGCTGATGGAGGCGTTGGCTGGCGCTTCATTAGCACCCTGTTAGGTCCTGGATGAGTTTGCTGGGGCTGCCATGACAAGGCACCACAGACTGAGTGACTCAAACAACAGAAAGGGACCATCTGCCAGTTCTGGAGGCCAGAAGTCCAAGATCAAGGTGTGGGCAGGGTTGGTTCCTTCTGAGGGCTGAGGGAAGGATGTGTTCCAGGCCTCTCTCCTTGGCTTGTAGATGGCCGTCTTCTCCCTGTGTCTTCTCATCATCTTCCCTCTGTGTGTGTTTGTGTGTCCGCATGTCCTCTTTTTATAAGGACATCCATCAGATTAGATTAGGGCTCACCCTAATGACCTCATTATAACTTGATCACCTCTGTGAAGACCCTGTCTCCAAATAAGGTCACGTTCTGAGGCACTGGGGGGTAGGATTCCAACATATGTTTTTTTGGAAGGGACACAATTCTGGCCCCAACTCTTTTTTGACTGTTATCACCTGCAGACATTCACGCGTCAAGAGCACACGCACCCAGAAGACAGCCTTCTCCGGAGTCAAATGTGCTGCTATCTTCCATTCTCACTTGGCTCCCCAGCCCCTCCTGAGTGACCCCAGGCCTGCCCGCTGCACACACTGTGCCCACTGCACCTGGGACTGGGCTGGGCCCTCTGCAGACGCTGCCTAGTCCTTGTTGAATTGAACAGAGCCCATTTGTCCCCTGCCCAGGTTGGGAGGCCGTGTGTGACTGGAAGGACGTTCTGTCAGGGGGTGAGAAGCAGAGAATCGGCATGGCCCGCATGTTCTACCACAGGTGAGCCAAGCTCTCCAGGGTGGTCGGGCTCCCTCAGGCCCTGGCAGTCCTCTGAGCCATCAGCAGAGACAAAGGGGAAGCCTGGGCACGCCCCGAGGGCTGAGTGGGACTGCCCAGGAGCCTGCTCAGCATGCATGCTCCCTGGGCCTCCTTAAGAGGGAAGGCAGCTCCATTAGGAGGCCTTGCCCTGCTCCAGGCCCAGCATGGATTGGGCCACAGGGAGATGGGATCAGTGCATGGATCAGGGTTCCTGCCGGGGGCTGGGGCCCAGCCAGGGCATCAGCAATGGAGGGTCCACAGCCTCGCACACTCCACCCCCACCCCCAAGGCCCAAGTATGCCCTCCTGGATGAATGTACCAGCGCCGTGAGCATTGACGTGGAAGGCAAGATCTTCCAGGCAGCCAAGGACGCAGGCATTGCCCTGCTTTCCATCACCCACCGACCCTCCCTGTGGTAGGTGCTCCTCCTTCCCACCTGCATTCGACACTCCCATGGTTTTGCAGCCAGGGAGGGGGGCGGTGCTGCAATTGGAGGGGCAGAGGGCCCTGGCTGGCACGTCAAGCATCTCCTGCTGAATGGCCTCCGTGCCTCCATCCCTGTCCCTCTCTTGGCCCAGGAAGTACCATACACACTTGCTGCAGTTCGATGGGGAGGGCGGCTGGAAGTTCGAGAAACTTGACTCGGCTGCCCGCCTGAGCCTGACTGAGGAGAAGCAGCGGCTTGAGCAGCAGCTGGCGGGCGTTCCCAAGATGCAGCGGCGCCTCCAGGAGCTCTGCCAGATCCTGGGCCAAGGCCTCCAGGGTGCCACCACCTGACAGAGGGCTGTGGCTCTTGGCTCTCAGCCCTTGCCCTTCCCCAAACCCTTGGGTCACATGAAGGACACAGCAGCGCCTGCCCACTCACCCCCACACCCAGCATGCCTTTCCCTCCTCCCCAGCCTCTTGGCCACCGGCCTGCCATGCTGAGAGGACTGCCAGCAACTCAGTGTGTGCCCCTCCGTGACCCTGCCTCTGGGCAAGTAGACATGGAGGGTCCTACCCTGCTGCCTGCGCCACCCCTGCCTCCTTCCCTGCCCCACTGTAACTGTGACCTGGGCAGGGGGGCTGAGTCCTTTCTTTTCTCTGGGGAGGGGGAGAGGGGAGGAGGTGAGCCCCAGTCTGTGCAAGCCTCGGCATTTGTGAGGTACCACCCTCCTGAGACTGCAGTCCCTCTTTATTCCCTCCTCTCCGGTCCCTCGGAGACCTCATGGTCCATCCCTCTATTGCCACCACCCAAGTGGCCCGCTGAGGCTCCTGTCCCACGGGACACCCTTGCTGCCATAGAGACCGCCAAATGGGACCCATGGCCAGACAGGGCCCATCGTCTGCACCCCTCCTCCCTGCCAGGAGAAAAACTTGCACAGCGCTTCCCAGCGAACGATGATAAGAATGTTGTCCCTGTCCCTCTCAGTCCCTAGCCTTCTCTCCTCCTACAAGCTAATTTATTGGATTCCTGTTAGTACTCATCTGGATTCCCAACTTGAGCACCTGCCAGCAGGGGAGGCGGCCCGAGGCACGGTCCTTCCATGAGTGGCCCAGCCTCTCAAGCAGCCCTCGGCCGGCCGTCACCCCACCAGCCTACACTGCCAGCCACCACGGGGGGCGGGGGTTGGGCAGGCCAGCCGAAGGGGGAGATGGACGCTGGGGCTCCAGGCGTGAGGGCACCAATGTTCCCAGCTCAGTGCCAAAGAGGGGTCAGCAGGGGGAGCTATCTCTGCAAAGCCAGCCCACACGGAAGAGGGAGACCCCGCCGCCGCAGTGTGCCTTTCCAGGCCCTCAGCCCTCAGGTCAGGGAGCCTCCCTCAGTCCCTCACTAAAAACCTCCATGGAAAGCGCTGTCCTGCCTCGTGGCCTCTTTGTCTGGCGGGGCTTGGGGGAGAGACGGGGATGGGCAGCAGGTTGCCTGGGAAAGAAGGAATAACCTCAGCCCTGCCCCCCACACAAAGTTGTGGCTCCACACATTCTCTGGCTGACGTGGCGGTGGGGAGGTAGACGCAGCAACAGCATCACACAAAATTATTGGCTGAGCCCAACTAGGACTCTGCTCCAAGCCTGGGCCTGGTGCTGGGGTGAGGAGGAGGGGACCAATGCCTGCTGCCTGCATGAGGAGCTTAGAGAGAGAGACTGTGGGAAAAACAGTGAGCTGCAAGGTGGGCTGGTGGGGGGGACATGGAGGAGGAAGAATCCTGACCTGGCCTGCAAGAAGCAGTGGGGAGGAAGTGGTTCTAGACCTGGGAGGAAGGAACGCTTGTGCAAAGGCCCAGGGGTGAATCAAGAGCAAGATGCAGGATTTTGATGCTGAGTGCAGGGGAAGGGAGGGGCTGGGGTCTCGCTAAGGAGCCTGGACTTATTCCAGAGGCAACGAGAAGCCACTGAAGAGTTCTTAGCAGGATGGAAGCAACATAGAGTTGTCCTCAAAGCAGGCTGTGTGGAGAGTTGTTTGAAGGGAGGCAAGAACATACCACTTGGCCCTCGTCCACTGCTGGTGGGAATGGAAATGGAGCCACCATTGTGGAGAACAGTGTGGCAGGTCCTCAAAAGCTAAGCATAGAGTTCCCATATGACCCAGCACTTCCACTCCTAGAGTTAGACCTAAGAGAATTGAAAACAGGTGTTCAATTAAAAACTCACGTGAATGTTTGTAGCAGTACTATTGATGATAACCAAAGAGGGGAAACAACCCAAATGTGCATCAATGGATGAATGGACAAACTGCTCTCTCCATATGATGGAATAGTATTCAGCCATAAAAAGAAAGAAATTCTGATCCATGCTACCACATGGATGAACTGTAAAAACATGACGCTAAATGAAAGATGCCAGACACAAAAGACCACATACCATGTGATTCCATTACTATGAGATGTCCAGAAGAGGCGAATCCATAGAGACAGAGAATATTAGTGGGTGCCAGGGGCTGGGGAGGTGGGAAATGGAGAGTGACCACTTAATGAATACAAGGTTCCTTTTGGGGTGATGAAAATGTTCTGGAACTCTAGAGGTGATAGTTGCATAATATTGGGACTATACTAAATACCACTAAATTTTGCACTTTAAAAGGGTTAATTTTATGTTATGTGAATTTCATCTCAAAAAATAGATAGATAGGGGCCGGCCCCGTGGTGTAGTGGTTAAGTACGCATGCTCCGCTGCTGGCAGCCCGGGTTTGGATCCCAGGCGCACAGCAATGTACTGCTTGTCAAGACATGCTGTGGTGGCGTCCCATATAAAGTGGAGGAAGATGGGCACAGATGTTAGCCCAGGGCCAGTCTTCCTCAGCAAAAAGAGGAAGATTGGCATGGATGTTAGCTCAGGGCTGATCTTCCTCACAAATAGCAAAATAAATAGATAGATAATAGATGACATACATTGATGGCTTGATTGACGACAGAAAGCTAGAGAAGGAAATGATAGATGACTGAAAGAGAGATGATAGAGATGAGAGATGATGGAGAGGTGATTGAGAGACAGATGAGCACTAGATAGAGACACAGAAGTAGCCCAGGCAAGACGTGCTGAGGCCTGAAATCCCGGATGGATTAGAGAGAGATTAGAAGAAAGTCAACAGTCGTGGGGAGGGTCAGACTCTGGGGGGAGGGGAGGGGAAGAGTCAAGGTGACCCCCGGGTTCTGGCTTGGGTGGCTGGGTGGGCAATGGCACCCCTCGCCAGAGGAGGGACAGGTTGGGGAGAAGGTGCTGCAGCCCCAGCGAAAATGATGAGTCAGCAGTTGGCACTAGGAGTGTGCAGCTTGGACGAGAGCTTTAGGCTCAAGGGCCTCCCAGGGGGCATCGGCTGGCAGAGAGGCAGGTGGTGGTAGAAGATAATGCGTGGACAGTCTGGGGAGGCACTTGGTCTGTCATCTGGGGTGGGAGGTAGGCTGCAATTTATCTGAATTTTGAGGTTAGGAATCATTTTTGATCCCAGGAGAGGTAGCCAATTTGGAGGGCTGGGAGTTGTCCCTCCATCTCTTCCCAAGATTGTGTAAGTCGTCCCTACCTGATAATAAATCCTTTTTTTTTTGAAACTTAGATAGCTAGAATGGTTCTGTGGTCTGCCACTAAACCCTAATTGACAGCAATGGAAAGAGACATACCCGGCGAATACCGTCCAAAAGGAACTTAGTGGAGAGAAATTAGTATTGGACACAGTAGACCTCAGGGCACAAATCATTATCAGGAACACAAGTGGTCACTGAATAATGATCAAAGAAATAACCCTTCAGAATTGTTAGCCATTCTGAACACGTGTACACCTGCCTAATGATAGAGCCTCACATGTATATCAAACAAAAAAGTAGCAGTAAAAGGAAAAATTAATAAATTAGTAAATTCACCACAATAAATTACACCATCTCTCACTGCAAGTAAGACTATAGGAAAAACTGAACAAGCTTAACAGACATCCCAAAACTAGAGACTACACATTTGTTTCAAGTTCACCTTGAACATTTACTAAAACTCACCATGTCCTAGGCCACAAAACAAATCTCAACAAATACCAAAAGAATTGGTATCGTGCAGATCATGTTCTCAAACTGCAATAGAATAAAATCACAAATCAATAATAAAATTAAAAAGTCCTCCCATCTGTTTGGAAATTTAAATTTACAAATTTAAGTTTAAAAATACACTTCCCAATAATTGGCCCAAGAAGCATTATAATTAAAATCTAAAAACAGAACTGAACAACAATGAAAACACTACATATGAAAACTTATGGGCTGTAGCTCCCGAGGTTCTCAGGAAGAAATGGACAGCCTGAAAGCAACGACAAGCACTAGCTCAAGAAGCGAGAAAAACCGCAGCAGAATGAACCCAAAGAAAGTAGAAGGAAGAAAATCGCACAGACAGCAGAAATTAATGAAATGGAAAAAAGAAAGACCAATAAACCCCAAAGTTGGTTCTTTGAAATGAGTAAACTCAACAAGGCCCTGGCAAGAAGGAAAGGAGAGAGAAGAGGGTGGTAACCACGGCGACCATAGCTGCTGCAGATGGCACGGGAGCAGCGCCTGGGGAGCCCTTGCTTCTGAAAACACCACGCAAATGACAGGAAGGCGATGACAAAGGTAAAAAGGAATAAACTCCCCACAGAAAATGAGAGGAGTACCTCCCAAGAAAATTTTGGAGAATGGTAAACAGATGGAGGAGTAATAACTGACTTAGGAGACCCGAGCAAACGTTGCAAACAGCGGAGGGAGGCAGCCAGCAGCAGGGGGTGGTGTGCGGAAGTGGAGGCAGCAGATACCTAAGAAGAAAAAGTGTGTGTCTGTATGATGGGGGTGGGGAACAGGAGGATCGATTGAAAGTCTCTATAAGCAGCTGCGAGGTCAAATATATTTCAATAATATCTACATAAAAGGAAGCTGCTAGACTCTCACGTCTTTGCCCCACCTCGTGCAGAAGACCAGACTTTTACTCTCTGTCGAGTTAGAACAGAAGGTCTCTGGAAATGCAAATGAAAGCCACAGTGAAATATTATTTCATTTCCACTGATTGGCAGAAATTGAAAAGTCAGACAGCACTGGGCGGTGTTGGCAGTGCTGCAGAGTAGCAGGAACTCACTCACTGTGGGGGCACTGGTACAAGCACTTTGGAAAACGGCTTGGCATTATCTAGTTGACTTGAAGCTGGGCAGGTTTATGACCCAATGATGTGACTCCTGCGCACACCCTAGAGATGGTCTTTCACAAATTCACCAGATCATATGTACAAATCCTTCACAGCAGCATTGTTTATAATAGGCAAAAGCCAGGAACAACCCAAGTGTCCATTAACAGGAGAATAAACGAGCTATGTTAGAGTCATAGGATGGAAAACTATTCAGCAATAAAAATGAATAAACTACAGCTATATGCATCAACTTGGATGTCACAAATGTAATATGGAAAGAAAGCAACAAGTTATAGAAAATACATTCGGTATGGTTCCATTTATATAAAGTTCAAAAAATATACAACTAAATTATTTATCAATTAGGGATCATTCATATTTGGGACAAGTAGAAAGAAAGGCAAGGGAAGAGTAGTGGTTGCCTCTGTCAAGGGAGGAGGAGGGTACGTGGGAATACTGGGCATGTTGTCCTCCAGCTGACAGTGGGGACATGTGGGTAGCA